ATCATCGGGTCTAGCCCCCTGCCCAAAGTGCAGGAAGTCAGCTGGGGTCAGATCATCCCAGCAAGATCAACATTTCTTAAAGGAATCCGGAGTAGGTGCTTGCACCACTTCTGGGGGGGAGGCTATTCCAGACTCTGGAGACTCAGACATAAAACAAGTTTTTCCTTATGTTCAGTCTAAAATGGTCTTCCAGCAGTTTGTGACCATTAGGCCTTGTCTTCCCTTGGAGTGCCCCAGTCAACAGTTCCTGATGCACACCCCTTATATGCTCATAGGCTGCCACCGAATCAGTCCTGAGCCTTTGCTTATTCAGGCTGACAAGTCCCATGCCTCTCAGCCTCTCCTCATAAGGTCTGTTCTCTTGACCTCTAATCATGCACATGGCTCTCCTCTAGACTCTCTCAAGCTTCTCCACATCTTTTTTAAAGTGTGGAGACCAGAACTGGATGCAGTACTCCAGCTGTGGCATCAGCATTAACAATACTTTCATTCCTGTCACTGTTCCCCATCCCCTTTTCCTGATTCCCAGTATAAAGACCACTGTGTTGAGGCATAATACAGGAGGGGAGCAAGAAAGCAAGCTAAACCTCCATGTTGTTTCATCTAAACATCATGGAAAACAACACGCTTCTTTTACAGCTTGTACATTTTGTCCAGAAGATGGTCTATCATTAAAAATATGAGGCACTATTTTTTTATGGTGTGAAGAACACCAACTTTCTACACTCTTTCAAGAGCCACTGACATATCAAGGACAGCATCTTTGTTCAGTTATACATATAGATGTTCTATTTCACTCTACTTCCTTTCTTGCTACAGCATCCATCACTTATTAGAATCACATTATGCAGACCACTTTTGATTCTAATAACGAGAGCTTTAAATAAGTGGCAGCAAAGGAGAGAGCAAAGTAAGAAGCCCAGGTGGACACAAGGATCACATGTGCTCAGTATTGTAACATGTGCACTGTATTGCAACCTAGCTGGGCAGGTAATAGGTATCCATGTGGACATTTTTTCTAACAGCCATCAAAAAAAAAAATCAAACTCTTGTATTTACAGTATAAAGTGTGTTTTCAGAACTGGACATTGATTTCATTAAGTAATATTCTTATATGTGGTGGAAAATGCCTGCAATACACTGGTTTTGGCATTTGTTTTTAGGAGGTTTTGAGCTTATTTGAAGCTGATTCTATTAAATGAGGTTCTAATACTTGCCAGACATTGTAATCAGGACATAATTTATTTACTTAATTTATTTACTCAGACTGATTTATTTCTTTAATATTACATCAACTTTTTTGTGACATCAGATTTGATTGTCAGGGAAATTAAACTATGTCAGACAGGAAAGATCAGAAGTGAATAAGAACTAAAAATGCAAAAATTTTTAACAGTGAAGTGCAAAGATGATGTCAACGTAGAGGCTGGCATGTCTCAGTGTCTATCAAGGTGCTGAGAGGAAAACAGAATAGAAACAGGTTTCCGGGTCTTGTTTAGGTTTCATGAATGCCTCCAAAGTTCACTGGGTTTTTTTGGTTGTTGTTTGTTTTGGGTTTGTTTGGGTTTTTTTGGGGGGGGGGGGGGGGCAGGGGTTTAAGAATTATGAAATATTCCTGGGAACCCTGAATACATAAATTCTTGGAAGTCAGATGTCAACCATGTCAGGGTTGTATGGGATTTGTTGTGTTGTAGGACAACCCTGAATTATGCACTCCAGGCTCTAGGGAGTTTTTAGTGAATCCAGATGGAGCCAGTTGATTTTAATGGAGCCTAAAAATAACTTATAAACAGGTAAGTTAAAACTTTGTTTGTGTGCTAAATGTTACTCTAGCCTATTCAGTGGTGGTCAATCAACACAAATCTGTACTTACCACACTAGAGGCAAAGTTCAACCTTTTTCTACCATGTTTACCTTTAAAAAAAACCCTAAGATCCCAATTTTGTGCAGCAGTAAATAGAAGTTTGTGTTGTTAATGATCTATGCTTTCTAAACAGAAATTTCAGCAAAATTATCCAAGTAGCATTTGATACTCTGAACAATAATTACAACCCCTAAACAACAACATAACTACCTCCATATATTGCAGTAGCTCCTTTTGGCTCAAATCAAGTTCATGTGTCATTGACCTTAGTGCTGCATAATAAACAGCCAGAAACAGTTCCTCCCCTGAAACAATTTACAATCTAAATAGACAAAACAGACATAAGAAGCATTGCTGCCTCCATTTTATAGATCCAGAATGATTAAGTTAACTTAGCTTAAGAGTCAAAGAATCTCTGTGGCAGAGCTGAAAACTTAATACCAATATCCTAACCACTAGTCCAGCAAGTTAGCTGCAAGACTGCTCTTCACTGTCACAGACTAAGCTGGCCTTTTGAGGAAGGTATACTCCATTCCACCTATGCCTAGTTTTCTGGCTCTCAGGTGATGATCTTCAGATGCCATTGGATAGGTGACAGCAGTACAGAAGTGATGTCTCATATTAGACGAAACCTACTCACTCACTTACGAAGGTACTGAAATGGATCATGGAGGGCTATGCTATACAGAAATATACTACCAAGTTCTCTCTAACAGGCTGGCCAGGAGTAGAAAATGGCCAGAAATTGTTGAGGGGAGAGCAGGATCTAGGAAAGACTCAAAGGAAGTCTGCCAAGAGAGGCCCAGAGTCTGAAGAGGGGCTAGTGAATATCTTCTGCAGGGATCTACTGAGCAGAAAGGATGAAATGAGAAGTTGGATATACAGTAGTGAATGGAGGGTCCTTCAGGTGGACAAAAAGCTACAAGGAGCCCTGAGCTGAAAAGGGAACGGTCAACAGAACCCTGCATTTTAAAGCTCTCTGCTTATTCTGTTGAGAGCTGAGGCAGAGTGGCAGACATTACCATTTCACTTTCTCCCAAATCATTTAGATTTTGTTGCTCACCAAGATGATCTTGCTGATCTCCCAAACTCACACTAACTTCATTATCTCATGTCACTGGTTGGAAAACAAGGCAGGACTTCAGTGTATTCTCAGACACACAAGCTGAACAAAGCTCTCACGAGTGAGACTACTTTGTATTTCGAGCCAGCAAGCTCCATGACTATTTATTTTCAAAGAAAAGTAGCAGAGCTCTAGCTCTCCATGGTTGAGAAATACCTATAATGCCTATTAAGCAAAGGTATTCATATGTTTCCATTAAGTATTTTTAAAAAATAAGTCATTCATGAAATACCTGGAATTGCATCTTTAGCTACAGTCCAGATTCCCCTGAACAGAAAAACTTGCCATTTTTCCAGCTACCAACCCTGGGCCAGCTTAATTTAGGCCTTGCTATCACTACACAAAACAACCCATGCTTCACTCAATTAAAAAACTTAATAAAGGTAAAGCAGTCAGTTGTTTTCACAGAAGCCAGCAATCTTGATCACTTAGAGTAGCCTGATCTGCATAATGCATGGCTGCCTCTGCCTCAGGAACTATTCCAGCAGCTGGTAATTGCAGGTCTGGAGGGACACTGGTGCTATACTACCCTTTTTCTCACATTCCTGGGAAAGGGGCAGTTTCATTCTGGCCGTATGAATTCTCTGCCACCCCAAGATGACAGAAAATGTTATCTGGCTAGGTTCACCAAGTTACCAGCTTGTTTATGTTGCCAGAGCAGTGCATAAGTAGCACAAAAGGGCTTAGGATACTAAATCTGGAATCATTCAGTTCAGAAGAGTTCATCAAGATCTGAATCAACTTATCAAAGAGCAGAATCTAGCCATAATACTCTTTTTAAATATTTAACTTCCCTATGAATGATAGGCCCAAGTCACCAACTCTGGGTTTCATCCTCAGTAACACAAGGTGCAACTATGAAGTCCTGGACCAGATCTAAAGTCCAGGGATAGCTGAAGGCAGAGTTTGGTTTCAGCCTTTATTTTCTGTCAATCTAACATGATCATTTTTTAGCAAAACATTTTTTAAAAATCACTGACTTTTGAAAAGGCAACAAGCTGAACTCATCTGGTCTCCCCAGCTGCACAAATATTTCTCAAAGCCTAATACTGTTATCTACAAAAGGTATAAATAGCAAGGTTTCAGACCAGAAGCATACATGCCCTTCTGCTGCCAATGATTAACTTGCACTTGAACGTTCACACAGAGGGCACCTCTTGCATTTTTGATTTGGGGAGGTTCATTAACAAGAGAGCTGCCATTCCATTCTGAGAACAGAATCAATCAGGAATGTGGTTCTAACTAACAGAAGGTATTTCAGCAGACCATAGAAAAAGAAAGTAAGAGGAAAAAAAAAAGGGAAAAAATAAAAACCTTGCTACATGAATCCTCCAGCAAAATGTAACTGTAGCAATTCTGGCTGCTTCACAGTACTCTAAAGGGAATTCTGCTATTTGCTGAGTTTAGTGAATGTAATCTGATGTTGAAGCAAAACCCGCAAACCCCCCCCCCCCAAACCTCTCTCTCTCTCTCTCACACTACTTTCACCATTTTCTTGGTTCTCTAATATTATTAAGTGTACACAGGCATAAGAAATTTTCTGGCTACTGAGAAGCTGGATAAAAATCCATGAAGCAGACACTCTCAGTGTGAATAAGATGGACTGATTAGATGACAAGTAATAAACACAAAGACAAAAATCAACTCAGCACTCAGAGAGGAAGCGAGAGAAAGAAGAGCCAAATAATTAAGTTCAGGATTAGAGTTTGCAATGCTGAATAAAACCACATTCACTTTTTACAACCTAAAGGAATCATCATGCTCCATTCCATATTTTGCATAATAACACCACTCTGCATTTACATAGTTGCGTTCATATAAGAATCACAAAGCATTTTATAAAGATGGATAAGGACTAAAGATAGTTGTTTCCTTTTCTGCACAGTTAACAGGAAACCTGAAAATGTAGTAATTCAAATACAGTTCACCGCCAAACCTCTAACAGTTATTTAAGCTGGAAAAAATTGTTAAAGGCTGTGGAGGATTAAAGCTTCCGAGGTTTTGAATACTTACTTCACATAGTCAAAGTCACCTCAGACTGAAATCCAGGGAAAATAAAAAAGCTTGCATCAAGGAACTTAACCAGTCAAGAACATGATGTAGCCTTTCCTCTAAACTTGCCAGCTATAGGCATTTACTCATTTAACACAGGCAAAGACCACGACACACCAGCAAAAACTTTGACGGAGGGATGCCAGAGGGAAGCCCTTCCCCAAAGGCTTTTGGTTCAGCCCACTCATTAAAATACAGAATGAAAACAGCTGCTGTAGGAAGGAAAAAGACATTTTCTTCTTAAATTCCTTGGGTGTAAAATGGTTTTGTTGTGGAATCCCAGTACGCAGAAAAATTCAAAAGATCATTTTAAAGCCTTTTCTCCAAAGCCTCGATCTTCCTCTGCATTGGGCTTTAAAAACTTGGTCTAACTTACTGGGTGTCGGAAACTTACTTCAGAAATGAGTTTGCCTGGACTGCAAATATGTCTCATTTTTCAATGCGCTGATCTACTATAGGGAAAATCTAGACCTAAAACAGAGCCCCACTTCCACACATCCTAAGTCAGTTTCTTCAAATGTGTTACAAGTGCTTTGGTATAAAATATGCTTCCTCAGATAAAATATGCTTCTATATTGCCACTCATTCAGCAAATCCCAAGCATGCTAAAAGTGTTAATTAATGCCTATTACTATTTCTAATTGATACAGTGTTTTTCTTCTGTAGACCTAAACACACTGTAGGGCCACACAATCCCTTACTGGGAAGCTGTTGGTATTATGACCATTTAATTAGCTACTGAGGTTAAGTCCCAAAATGTCAAAAATTGACCTGGATCTAAACTGGCAACCAGGATTAGAAGCCAGTGCTGGGGTCAGTGCTGAGAATACATGAGAGTGGTCCATTCCCTTCAATACCCATATACATACATGATTTTACTCATTGCCTTTGATAGACTACTTGTATGAGCAAAGTTATTCATAAGCATGACCATTTTTAGCATCCAAATCCGTAAGTCTTGATTTCTAGTTATTGTTCACTATCTCATACCTTATCTTCCTTTCTCGCCTATAATTATTATACAAGCTAATGCATTCCCATATTGAAATGTTCCTGATTATAATAAAATTTTTATATATATATAGCCAAATGGCATTTCGTAGTCTAAGGCATGTAGACAATGGCTGGTTAATTACTGTTCCCCTGGCAACAACTAGCTATTAGTGGTGCAAAAACATTTCTGTTTTTTAATAAAAGATGTTTTAAAAATCCGTTTAAAGTAACCAAGCATTCAACAATGCTACAAATTCCAAAGGCAAAGCTGCCCACTCTCTCTACAGGGTCAACAGTTGATATTAATTATTATTTAGAAATGGGATACTTTAAGCAAAATAAGCAAATCTACTCTATTCACAGTGGGTCTGAGAAAAGCAGCCTCCAATCCCCCACCAATTTTGAACTGGCTGGTTTAATTGTTGGCCCATTGTGTGTGCTTAATGTTTCCTGCAGGTCTGAAAAAGCATGCAAAATATTTTAGTTCAGGGCCTTTGCACAGAAGTATTTAGATAGGGAAGTAATAGGAAATAAATGTCTCCCTTAAGGACTCCAGCTAGTAGAGACAGGACTCAGCCTTGATGACAGCAACTTCTGCCTTGTGTATTTCACGGGGGAGTAGGGCTAAACATTCAATGTTTGCCCCAGACATGTTGGAAGATGGATGTTGGTTATTTTTTGGTTATTACTCCTTCCCAAGTAGAGATCTGTCCAGACTGAAAGGAATGCTTCGACATAGGGATCGCCTTCTTGTGCATTCATGCTCTTTCATATCAAAAAGAAAAGTCAATACCACATTTGCCTGCTAGCTCCTTTGAGAGGAAAAGAGCCTGACAAAGCAGCATCTTGGGTTCCTACATTACAGGCACTTGAGGCTGACAGAAGTGAGACACCCTGTGCCTTATGTACCACAACCATGATCACTAAAGGCAGGGGGGTTGCAACCCCATTGGTTTAAGAGGTGGTGCTGGTGGCAGGACATTTTTGCCAAGAGGATTTATAGCTGGATGCAAAACAGTCCTTCAGGGATCTCTTCAACACCATCAGTGCTAGCACTAATGCTGGCAAGGCCCCACTCGTTAGACACATCCCCTTCTTCACACCCTGCAGTTTATCCATGGAAAAGTGAGGCATGATGCAAGAAAAAGGGCCCCGCTTCTCCCTTCTGCACCCTACCCACGCCTAGAATCACAGGGTCCCCACCCTATGCAGCAGGGCAGAAAAACCAGGGCAGCCCCAAGTTTCTGCCCCCACTTTTCACTGGTCTGTCCCTTCTGTCACTCCACTGCTTCCTTCTCCTTCCAGCTTCCCAAATACCTATAGTAGGAAGAGCTGCAGAAGTAAAACCCACCTTTGAATGCTGTTGTGCTTTCTCTTTCCCTGGCACTTTTTCTTTTCTTTTTCTAGCTTGGAACTGCAAGTGCCCTTTGATAAGAAAGCTTCTCTGTCCTTTTCTTTTTATGCCAGCACACGCTGTGAATGAAGAAAAAGAATCTCCAGGGGCTAAAGGGAAAGACCACTGTTTCCCTTCAATTGCAGCCAAGCGTTTAAAATTAAAGCTCCGACTGTGTGCAAGTCAGAAGGCATTAAAAAAAAGCAAACAACTGATGAGAATGTTTCTAGGAAGTCATGCAGGTAGAGCATGGTGTTGGATCCAAACAACCACCAAGGGACATTCAGATATTCAGTTCATTAGATGAAAGACAGGTCAACACACTAACATGACAAACTGCAGAAGGCTCTCTGTTGTAAGTAGCCACTCTATCTTGTTGATGCCCTATCAAGATCTCCTAAGCTAAGTAACACTGAAATGAGCAAGCAGTTAGGTGGAGAACATCTTGGTGCAGGCAGTGATACTGGTGGTTCACTAAGCAACACTTCTCTCTGAGCCAGTGCTTCCTCAAAGAGCTTTTGAAGAGGGTTTTGGTTTGTGTTTGTTTGTTTGTTTGGGGGGATGGGTTTCATTTTGGACTACAGCAAGGGTGTTCAACCCTTGGTACATAGGCCAGGCCTGGCTGTGAAGAGGTGTCACCTGGGTGGCAGGGCTATCCATGGACCTGAAAATTTAACAGCAGGGAATAATGGCAGCATTATATGCTGCTCCCCTATTACCAAATATCCATACCAGCAGGGAGAAGAGGAAAGACTGTGGGGTTGGGAGGCCTGAACCCAACCCAGGTATGCAGGCCAGACAGAGGCAGCACAGTTCCTGATTAAGGCACAGGGGGCTGGGATGATGTGGGGCCTAATCCTGGCATATGGCACTGGACAGAGGTAGCACAAGGCTCAATCCAGGGCCATAGAGGCAGCGTGGGGCCTGATCCTGGTATATGAGCATCAAGCCAGCCAGTGGACTGGCCCCCTGCCACTCATATGGCCCACAGGACTAAGAGTTTGAACGCCATTGACCTATAGGTATGTGCATATGCACACAGCCATGCATGCACATACACATATACACACACACACTATAGTAATCACTGGTATTTCAAGGCCTCGCTACATAGTCTTTAGCCAAGTCGCGGCAAGAGGCAACCCTGACCGCATTATGAGGGACTT